GACGATTCAGTCTATATACAATATGAAAGTCAATAAGTAATTAGGGGTTGATTAGATGTAAATCATCTTCTTAATTAGTTGCTGAACTAACAATATTCAAATCGCGATTTCGCAAGGACCATGTAATCTAGGGACAACATTTGGATAAGCTAAGCTTAGCTTATTCGAATTTTGCCAATTAATAATGCCTTGTCTGTAATTCTACAACCATGCAAACTGAACCTTATTTTGAGATAAATTTATCCAAACTCCTATTTGTTTCACCGCCATTTTTAAACGCAATTCTTTCTTTGACATTATAAAATATGAAGCGTTGAATTGATGAATGTTCTTGGGAACGGTTCCCGTAAATTTTGTGAAACTGTGAAAATTTGCTTCGAATTTATTATAACATATTTCCAAATTCAATTTTTCTTTTGTATTAATCACTACTATTCAAAAATGAGTCACATTTCATTCACATTAGTAACAAGTATAATTTTCACAAGACATTTAGACTTACTTCTGCAATGATAATTATGAATCGAAACTGTGATTAAATGACAAAAGTGAAGTATTAAATCTGTTGAAGTATAAACAGCGTTAATGGAACTGTTCATTGTATTAGTTGAGAGTAATGTCTCCCGAATACAATACAATACGTTAAACGTCCGCCCAAACAATAATTGAAAGCTCGGCTCGTTGCTATTAAGATATCAGCTTAAGCGACCCGCGACCGCGCATTATTTACTCACCGATGCAATAGATAGCCTTCCCGTTCGAATACATTCAGATTGCATCGCTCCATAGAGACACGGCGATAAACTGCTTCGCAATAAAGGCCCCGGCGTTAACTACACGTTCCAACCCTTAAATAAAAGTGTCACCCTTGCAGGGCCGCGTTCGCACCATCCGGTGCTTTATCATTTTTTTCGATCAACGCCTGCGGGCGAGATAGCTGTGGGGTCGGCTGACAGCTCTCGGGCCGGGATTAACTTTGTATTGCGGCGGTGCGGGAGAAAAAATTTAATAGCGCCGCGGCGGATCCGCGGGGCGAAACGGGCGCTAAGTGCTAGTTGCCTCACTGGCGTTTTTGTCCTCCAACAACAGATTTATGGGAGGGAAGCTTATAATTGTAAGCCCCAGTGTTTCTGACAAAGGAGGAATTAGGAATGGATTGTCCGAGTTTTTGTTACATCAGTAAGTTGCTAAGTGGTGACGCTGTCGAATTTATCTTTCTCACCGGCACTATTATCTTTTGAAACATAAACCTCGCTTGTATTTTTTTTTATTGACGTATTAATTAATTCTGAATGCTACTCATCTTCAAATCAAGGACCCTCAGTGCAAACGGTTGCGACTGTTAAAAGGACCCTCATGCACTGGGATACCAAACGTCCTATACATTAAACATCGGAAACTTTCGATACACCAGATTTTATGGACGTAATTAATTACACTAAGAACTTAATCTCTATAAATTTTGCTAGTTAAGTAGGCGCGTTAACTGGGCTAAGCCGCCTACCGCGCCGCTTGTAATCCACCACTCTTCGTTTGTTGATCCAATAATATGATTACCCGGACCAAACAGTTCCCTGCATTGAACTGAATAACATTTGAATGCTATGGAGAACGAGCCAAAGGCACCGACCATGATTGATGGCTTTACTCTTAATTAAATTTTGACGGGAGTTTAGTATTGAACGTTGAATATAGTAACCTAAGGTTAGTCTCATCGGGGCAGACAACACGGCTACAAAGGAGAGTCGCGTAAAGTGGTAAGATTATACTTTTGCCTTTAGTCTGGTGAAGGAGATATAAAGTGACGAGATATTTTGTAAAAATGGGGGCTATGTGGCCTCTGGGGTGATTTAAACGTGGGTGATCACTTAATATCAGGTAACACCCGCTCATTTGCGTTTTCTACAATCTGCAATACGTAACGTACGTACTTTCGCAAATTCGGATCATGGTCTTTGTCTGTCCAGACGTTTACCGCAGTTTAATTTATAGTCAGTGTAGAAAAACGCGAAACTTCATGTGAAAACAGTCGGAATTATAATTAAAAATAATTTTAAGAGGACGCTGTAAGGGTGGTCACGTCGGCGCGATATGTCACCGGCATGGAGCGGTAAGCCGATTCGAATATTTCACAGTGATGATTTAGGTAAATTCCGAACTTTACGAGCGTATAAATTTAAACAATGAATACGGACGGAATCGAATGTCCCTACGTCGGTGCGCCGTGAATAGAGTGATCAACGGCCGCAGCGTTTCGGATTGGCAATTTCGTGATGTCATCAATAACGCTGCGGTTGCGATGATCCCAGCAGTCTTTTCACCTTTGCCGAACTACGTTCTCGCCTTTGGATCTCCGTCGGACTTGGTTCCGTGTAAATAGGATGGTATGCTTTTGCACTGAACTTCTCCTACATAGCTCATGGAGTTTTAATGCAAACTGATATCTCTATTTTAATCTCTTTGACCTTAATAGCTCTGCAATTATAGCCAGGATGTATTCAAAAGTCATGATCACACCTTTTATACTCATATATTGTTTGAACCTGCCTCAATAGATAATAGAATCGGAGTCTAGTGTGAAAAATTTGACGTTTCTAGCCCCAGTACTTTAGACTGGTCATTGTTAGACTAGTTATGTAGAGTCAGTTTCTCTTCTCACAGATTAGGTTACAATCTCACGAGGACATAATGCCATGGTGGTTGAAAGCGCTCGAAAGCTTAAAAACAAAGGACAATGCGTTCGCACAGCTGGTCGAGTGCGTAGGGAGCGTTGCCCGATTAATGTGGTGCCACACTTTTCGCGCTGTTGCCGCGAATAGACAACACGGGAATAGAATTGCAAGAATGGTACATATATCCGTGCCGCGGAAGGCGTGCGGCGTTTCGAGCATCATTAACCTGTAATGAGCCAAATGGAGATGGATGTTTTACATTCATCGGGGTACTCGTTTTGTCACTGAAACCCCTATTGCTAGAAAGACACATTGACATGTGACATGCTGTAGTAGGTTACATGTAAGAAAAAGTAAGTACTTAAATCAGAGTTTAATGATATGTAATGAAAAATACATAAAATTCCATTAATGATAGAAAAACTCTACATAACATCGTAGCGGTGTATAATTATCACTGGTTGAATGAATGAATGAATGAATACTTTGAATGAATAAATAAACACTTTGAGTGAATGAATAATTACTTTTATTGTCCACCACAAGTGAAAGTTATTGTTACAAACGGGACATCTGATTACTATCTCCTAGGTTCCTAGATAGTATTCGCTAACTCTGATTATTTTTCTCATGCTCGTGTTCATAGAAATGTTTTTCACGCTGAAAACTACTCGTGTGGAGGTTTTAAGTGAGGTCGTTTACAAAAGTTAACAGCAATTTTAACCGTTTAAAGTTTTATTAATAGAGACATATGACAAAAATCGGTTGAGCTTCGAAGGAGAATGTTGATTTTGGAATTTTGAATGCAGAAGTGTAACACTTCTACTTTACGATGTCTTCTGTGAGGTCGTGGGTCTTATCCGGACGGACCTCTCATTCACGGTGAAAACTTTTGCGTGGCCCTACCACAGTTCCGACAGATCTATGACACCGGATCTATGAGGTAGAGAGCCATACGGCTCACTTTTAATTCAATTTACTCGAGTAACCTGAGTACCAATTCCGGTGCCGGCATCAAGGAAATTATTAATTTTAAGTGCTGGTTTATCTGAATATTTTCTGCATATTTTCGAAATAATAGCAAAATAAAGGTTTTGTAGATATGTGAACTGTGAAGTCTGCCAATCCGCAGTGGCGTCGCGTGGTATACTATGCCCTAATACCCTCTGTTCAGAGGAGGTCGTTGCCCAGCAGTGGGACATAGGTAGGTTGTTACGTAAAGTAAAGTAAATTACTATTTTATGTGAAAACGGGTTGGTTATTTCTTACTTCTACGCGTAAACTAAACAAAGAAAAAAAAATAATTGTAATGTACATTCCAAAAATGGACAAAGTACACCAAAATTTGAATAAATTAGCAGAAACTTCATCGACTAATATTGCTTCTTTTTAAATAATTGTATGGAATTGGCAAACAAATCTACCACATGGTTACCGCTACAAATATTAAATCGAACTTAGGAACAATTTCACTTTTAAGAAGACGTCTAGTCTAGACGTGAGCATAATGCAGACATTAAAATAAATGTAATGTTTTCCACTTAGAAGTCCGTTCAATTACAAGTAATTTTTTTATCTTTCAATGCTCGTTGTCCGATATCTTGTATTTAAATTATAGATAAAATATTAAACAATATACTAAAAGTGAAATATTAATAGAGTATATTAAACTTACTTGAAACAATAGAATTGAAAGTCAAAAAGTTGTCTTAAAATATTGTAAAGTCAAGTAAGAATATAACACAACCTTGGAACCGTCGAGTGTCTTTATTATTGACGTATTAAATGTTTAAGAATTAGTTACGGATTAGAACATAAAATATAAATGTATTCACAAAAAAAGTAGGAACAAGGAGTTGAGATATTTTCTCAGTGGTTCGTTTTGTTTTGGAACCATCCCATATTGCGAAACATTCGAAGATTGCTTTTGTAAGTTATGAATGAGACTAAATTTTAAACTTGTGAAGGTGATTGAACTTTCGCACGTGAGAAACTTAACCATAGCAAAAGTGTTAAGTACTTTAAAAGCAATTTTGAACTGTTCGAAAAAGTTTTCAGAACAATCGTGAATTTGAAGTCATCGACGTTTTAAGTAAGTGGTACTTTTAGAATTTTTGAGTTGAACAAAATGATTTAAATCGATTGGGCTGGTTCTTATTACGTTCAAAGGTTAAGCATAACTATTCAGCGAGGATATGCAGCTTGCGTTCTTGGCACTATGCCGCGTGAGTAGGTTTGTAAGATAACATGTAATTTAGATAGATTTATTGTTGTAAATATTGTAAAAATAAATTGTGTAAAAAATTAGCTGTTCATTGGTTGCGATCAGTACCGACCTGGTGGACAGCCGCAGTCGCCGTAGTCCCTGATGCTGCGACGATATCGCCAGTACGCTGGCGGCCTGGACATCACCTCCCGCCGGAGCCTCTCCACCAGCGGCTGCTGCGGCTCCAGGACTGCGCTCCTCAGAGCCAGGTGCTGTTCCTCCAACAGCGACAGTCTATCCTGCAGGCCCTGCTGCTTGTACAAGCTGTAGCCGCTCGATATGAGGCTCATGGCACACGCACACCACAACACCGCACAGTAAGCCCACGGGTCGCCGGGGCATCGCTCGTCGCATTTCTCCCATTTCTTCTTCGTCTCCTTCTTCTCGACTCTCTTCTCTGCGGCGCTCTTCACCACCGGAGGCAGCTTCGTCCCTATTTTCAGTATCATCGTAGTCAGTGTCCTCTCACGATATCAGAGAATCATAACGGAACGTTAACGGAAATCTGGTCGGCGTTCCCATGGTGGTTAACGCTCTATGGGAAACGTTTGAATGGACCTCATGATCGTTACAATGGACGCGTCCGGTGCGAGCTTTTCACGCCAATAGCCCGCCTTCTTTCGAATAATACGAATGTATGTTTTTTAGAAAACACGATGTCGGCACACGCGGGAGCGGAGTTAGAGCAAAGCGTTGTCAATATCGTATGCGGTTCGTGGGAGAATTTTGCGGGGTTGAAAATGCGGATCGTGTTTTGGACGCTGTCGTGTTTGAGTTCGATACGGTCGCGCGCGGGGAGCGTACAGACACCCTGTCAGGTCGGCAGGCGGCGAGCCACTGGCACTGGCTGTGCGGCACAATCGTGTCGGGATCACACCGCGTGCGGAACCCGCCGCTTCGGGAGGAGCGAGCGTGCGCTGCATCGAAACGGCCCCGCGGCGAGGGACCCTAAAACGTTTATCTACTTGTATTCGTACGAAGTCTTGGATGATTCCAAACGAGGGTGAGTTTTCGGTGCGCTCTTTTATTACACGTTCGCTTATTTAGAAGCTTATTTAGAAGCTTGATATTTAAGTTGCTGCTTTTTGGGTCCTGCTTTTCCGCCACGCTCTACATACGAGTATAAGCTTAATTTGCGGAACATTTTCTTTATTACGCAGAGTTAAGTAATTCCTTATTTGATACGATTTCTTCACTTGTTTTTTAGTTTGTAAATTATCAGAAATTGATTAAAGAAGTTTTGCTAATTGTAATCTGCCTTGCCCCAAAAGAACTTAGTATTCTGTTGTATTCAATTTTAATAAAAATGTCATGGGAGTGTTATGTATTATTTGCTCCTAGACATTATGTGTGATAAAGTATTAAAAATTACGTTATAATAATTTCTGAACTGTGGTGCAAAAATGTTACTTATTTTATAATGTGTGTGTATTTTATAATTTGTAATGTGCAAAAATGTTATATTTTATTATATTCCACCTGTGTGATGTTGCATGCGGTTGAGCAATGTAGTGATTGTAAAAAAAATAGATATAGTCGCACAAAATGTATTGGTTGCCTCGTGGGTAAGAATAAACACATACGATGGTAATTTCTTAAACATAAGACTACAATCATAACAGATTTTTAATCTACACGGTGGTAGAGCCATGCAACAGTCTTCGCTGTTGCTCGAATGGGCACCTCCGTCCGGGTAACGCCATGGCCTCACAGAAGACCAGCGTGAAGTGGAAGTATTTTACTTCTGCGTTTCGTCTGGGGAGTGAGGTAGACGGGGCCAACTTTTAAAGTGCGGCAAAGCAACTGCCACCCTATGGGTGTTGGAGATGCTTGGCAGGTGTCCATGGGCGGCGGTTATAACTTACCATAAGGTGAACAGCCGGCTCACTTGCCACCTTCTCACATAAAGAAATGTGAAAATCAAACTAACGTTACACATATATATAAAATCAGTGTTTATGTTACAATGCCCGTAGTTCCTTAAGTTTGGTCTTATTTTTTATGTGAGAAGGTGGCAAGATCTCGGCAACTAGTCTGTTAGATCTTTTCAATATATCGTTACTAATTACTTTCTCTTTGTACTATTTCCGTAGACCATATGTGTTTTACCCTAGATTATTTAGTATATATTATATTACTATAGATTCAGTTAATAGCTAACAATGATTTATAACACAATTATCATCAACAGGCAATTATATTCTATAAGACACAAGTATATTCTGTCGTTTTTTCATCAATACGCTCAACGCTCACATAACTACATCTCTGTAATCTGCTTGAAAATAAAAAAATGTTTACTTCAGTGGGTAGCGCTGTCCTAACCATAGTCTAATTAAACTGATGTGTTTGAAAAAAATAGTAACGGTACGGATGTACCACGATATTGCAATTTTAAGTCAAATTTGAATTTTAAAGGCACTTCGTGTCGCCAATAAGCGTCTATGCGCACAACACTCACATGGCATTAGCGACGCTTAATCTCTGAGCACACAAAAAGCCCTTAGAGAGTGTTCTATTCAGAATTCGCGTGGAAACACGGAGGGGTCTTAGAGAATAGGATGGTCCCAGGATCCGACGTATGACGCGACTTCCAGCGATCGATCCATCGCCAAGCTTAACTTTATGGGGTTCGGGGGAGATGAACTTTATGGGACGAAATAGGGTTTTGTAAGAATTAAATAAAGAACAAGACTCCGATTACACACGTTAGAAGTCCAAAAAATTGTTTGTTGTAATTCATGAGATATATCTGGATTAGAAGTTTACGTCGGTTCTTAAGAAAAACTTAAAATTGGCATCCATAATGCACCTACCCCGCGATGTGCGAAAATAAATTAATTTAGTTAAAAAATTGTATAAAGTACCTTTGAACGTAATGAGTTATCGTAGTTTTTATATCGTGGTATGAATCAATCATCATCTTAAGATTTGTGATTAGTTATTAGTATGATAATTTTTAATCCGATATTATAAGTGTTCCATCTGTTTAATTTTGATGTTAATTACAATATCCATAGTATTTTGTATTCAAATAATTGGAGATTATCATCTCCACATATCGTTACGTATAAATTCTAGTATTTAGATTAATAAAGAGAAACAAATGTCTCTAAGTGTACCAACGAAATCAAGGATCAAGCCGCTATGCCATAAAACGTAATGTACATTTACGACACATAAAAGCAACCGCTAAGTGTTAGACAAAAATGTCTCACCGATGACTAATGGCTTAAAAACGTTGACACGCCATTCGACAGTTCACTTTAGTGCTTTTAACTCTGTTACTTTTACGAGAGGGTGCAACAACGGATATCTCCATAAAGCGATACACTCGACCGACACAGCCCGCTACATTTAAATTATCAACCGTAAAGGAATTTTATTGAAGTCATAACATTACTTTGTACCGATAACATCGTGTTCTAAGAATTATTATTGAAATTTACAACGAAAGAACACGCACCGAAAACACCAACCGATTACAAATTAAAAGATCAGGTTACCCATAAAAACAAATTCGAGCGGCGCAGTGAAATTACCGCTGATGACCCAAACATCGACTCTCTCTAAAGATCTGTATCGGTATTAATTAAATTTGTAAGGAATGAAAAAGGTAGAGATGTTTTTTAAGCGATAGACTCTATTAATCTCTTTAATAGAGTCATTAAAAACGGAGTGGCGGCCGCAAGCGCCGCCGGCCACAAAAAAGCCGTGCCCTGCGGTGCTCCACCGACCTCTCGAACAGACTGCTCATCATAAAAATTAAAGATAACTCCGACATGCGACGCGCACATTACAATCTTAGAAATGAAACGGCGCTACCTACCACCATTACTGAGACGCCTTCGTGATATTTCTCTTAATCCGAGATAGCTGTCGAAAGTAAAGTACTGTAATTGGAAACATAAAATAACTATAAATGTAATACACGATATTTTCATTATCGTAAAGCTTGAATTTATTAGGGGAGATGATACAGAACTTAATAGCTTCCTATTAAGGCGACCTAAATGATGTTAAAATTTAAAGTAAATGTTTATTCTAAAAGACGTAGGATGGATAGTTGTTTAAATGTCTCCGTTAGGAACATCATCTGAATAAAAAAGTGGTAAAAGGGAATCTAAACAACCCTGTACATATCCATTTACATACATATGTTTATTTTTATTTTATTGGGTATTGTATTTCATATTAAAATGACCATCTTTAATTAATTCCACTTATGAAATTTATTTTCTTATAATAAGCTGATAATCCGTCCAAGAATATTATTTTTCTAGTTATGCTATGTTAATAGTTCTAAATCAATTCATTTTATAAATGAAACTAATTTTATGGATTTATTGCGTTTATTTTTAATTTTAATTCCCGACGTTTCGAACCCTTTACAGCGTTCATGGTCACGGGACAGACTGAGGTGTTAGACGTCTGAAGTGGGTACTGCTGGTGCACGGTGTGCTACCGTGGGTAAATCTTTGTTTCAAAGAGCACAAGGGATCTGTGACAAACAACACCTGGCCGCTGAGCTTCAACATGTCAAGCAAGTTCTGCATGACAACAAGCTTCGAGCACCGCGTCTACGTCACAGTGACCGAGTGAAACCAGCCACAGTGGAGCGAGTACCTGCTGTTCTACCATACGTCAGAGGAGTCACCGACAAGATTGGCTATATCTTAAAGCAGGCTTCAATTAATACATTCTACAAGCCGCTGAAGAAGATTAGTCAGTTTTTACCATCTGTCAAATGTAATATCCCTCTGCAAGATCCAGGAGTGTACAAACTTGACTGTGAATGTGGGCTCTCTTACATAGGACAAACAAAAAGAGCAATAAAAACCCGCGTGAAAGAACATATAGCTGACATAAAACACAATAGATTAAACAAGTCTGCAGTTTGTGAGCACATTTTAAATAGGCCCAACCACTACATCAGGTTTGACAAACCACAGATCCTTGCAAAAGAACACCGATTCCTCCTAAGGATGATTCCGAGGCTATTGAAATTAAAAAACACCCTAATTTCAATAGAGAAGAAGGTTGGGTACTACCATCAGCTTGGGATCCTGTAATCAAAAAATTAAATCTAGGCCCAAACGAACCACTACTGCAAGACAAGATACAATTAGCTCCCTCTGCATAGATCGGACACAAAATTAATAATTCAAAAACTGACGGTAGCCCGGGTTAACTATGACAATCAGACGTCTAACTAGCTTATTCTACGCAATCTAGATGAAGATAGAATTAATTTATGTTTGTTTCTAATTCTTATGTATATATTATATTCTTATATTATTTTTTTATATTTTACTATTCATAAGAGAAATACGTTTTATTGTTTATATTGGCAATTGATGTAATTTATGTTATTAAATTTATACAATAATCTAGTGGTAAGGTCCAAGTTATTTAAAAACATAGCAGGGCTTTTAAAGTTTTTTATAGTGCTAATCTCTGCACTTAAGATTGAACATTAAAACATGTAGAAAAAGTACGAAAAGATTGTCGCCGCTGTGGGAATCGAACCCACGTCTTCGGCATTCGCGGCCTGACGCTCTAGCCACTGAGCTAAACGGCTGATAACCACAGCGACGAAAATCTTAACTCCTTCTTTCTACATTGTTATTTAGCATTTGAAGCAATGCTTGGCGCATCTATTGTTATATCCTTTACAGCATACAAACAATTTCGAATATCGTTTTACAACGATAAATTCGAACGAGAGATGTCGCCATTGCTTTTTATAAATTTTAAAGTTTTTTATAGTGCTAATCTCTGCACTTAAGATTGAACATTAAAACATGTAGAAAAAGTACGAAAAGATTGTCGCCGCTGTGGGAATCGAACCCACGTCTTCGGCATTCGCGGCCTGACGCTCTAGCCACTGAGCTAAACGGCTGATAACCACAGCGACGAAAATCTTAACTCCTTCTTTCTACATTGTTA